TTCTATGTCAGCAGGTAGTTTGCAGGCTTAACACTATCATTGATCTAATGAGATCCACATTCAACAGGTCTGTGCATCCAGAAAATAAAATGTTTTGTGCTTTGAGAACAAGTTATAAATGCAGTGCTAATTGATGTAACTTTTGCATCTCCTTCATAATTTTCCATTCTAGTTTGAAAAGGCCGTGAGTATAATCTCCCCTTGTTTATAGCGTTCTTGATATATCAGACAGATGGTGAGCTGATACTGAACAAAAGATGGTCAGGCCAATGCAGGATGTAGTTTATCAGATAAAAATGTGTCTTTCACACTAGAGACATTTTCATATTTTTCTTTGCAGTAAATCCGCTGTATCTTGATGGGTCATAAGATTCTTATCGGAAAACTGGGTGTGGGGGTTCTGGATGAGCAGTGATTTGATTGAAATGTTTTGTTGGCTACATTTTTGGCACTTAAGCACAGAATGTTTTTTTTGCCCAATTGATGTTGACTTCATGATTTTCATACAAATGGACCAGGTATTTTGGATGGCCAGTCAATAGTCTGTCTTATTGAATAGCAGCAATATTAAGTATTGATAGGGAGAGAGTGCAGGTGAAGTGTAGCAGTAAAAACCCCCTTTTTTTTTCTTGCTCCTTCCATTTCCCTTCATGTAGTTTATCATCCTATTTCTAGGCTTTCTACACTGTGAGTGAGCATTCCGTGAGGAGCCCTTTTTCGTTCAAGGTTCTTCCTGTGTTGTGTTCTGACCTAGCACAGCAGTTTCATTTGTACACCACATGCCTATTTTACCCAATGCTGGAATTCTGTTAATTACTTACCACCAGGCATCAGTCTTCAAACCAAGCTAGCTGAGAGTGTTTGAAAGAATTTATGTGGGGACTTAGAATTTTAAATTTGAGGTTTTGGGCACTAGAAACCAGTGTGTATCAATGAGAATGGAGTGAATGATGAGCAGGATAGTTTATCGGTAGCCGTGTGATTGAGCTGAAATATATGTAGTGTAGATAATGGAAGGCCACTGGAGAGCATTGGAGCAGTCAAATCCAGGGGTAATGGTTAGGAAAGCTTGGGTGAACACTTCAGCATTTGGATAAAGATAAGGCTGGTAATTTATGAAGGGAGGGTTGGAAACTGAGTGAGCAGTTTAGTTAAACCTGATATCGTAGCCAGTGAAGAAAATAGAGTTGGTACCATTCGCCAAAGACAGTGGCATGGGGAGTTTTGCCCAAAATAAATTTCAGTGTAAAAGAAAATCCAAGTTGGGCTGCATCCATGAGGATTCCCAGTCCCTGTGGAGTTGATAATTGAAGTAATTCTCCTTTGTATTTTATAGGCAAAAGCTGTGGAGGTATGTTTCTGCACTTGATGTGCATCTTTGATCACCATACTACACTTTCTGGCTTAATCACAACATTTTGAGTTATGTACTCCAGATCAGCAATAGAAAGTTTTGAAATATTTAATAATTTTATTTTTAGAGTGGACTTCAGGCTGGCCTTTGACATCCAAAATACAATTGTTACTGGGTTAGTAACCCAGTGACAATCCAAAGAACATCACTTCAAATCTTGCCATGACAGATGGAAAATCTGCATTTTGTTAATATTTAAAACAAAAAAGCAATCGGGACTAACAAAGATGCTATCACCAAGTACGTTGTGTATTGGCCTACCGTGAATTCCTGAATAGTTCATTCACTTGGAGAAGGAAACTTGTTGTCTTGCACTGTCTTGTCTGTGGCTATAAACCCATGCCAACACCGTTTACTTGACTGAGTTCTGAAGTGGTTGAGCAAACAACTCCAAAGAATGTGGAACAGCACCAATTCAATTAGAATTACCAGTACCTATGACCAAAACAGGGAATTGGGCAATAATACCGTTTTGGTGAGTGATGCTTTATTCATGAGAATGAACTTTTAAAAGTTCAAAGCCCAAGATGTTGAAAAGGTTGAGTCTCTCATATTTCTTGCCAATGTCCTTGTCACAGGGCAGGCAATGGCCTAGTGGTATTATCGCTGGACTGTTAATCCAGAGACCCGGATAACATTCTGGGGACCCGGGTTCGAATCCTGCCACGGCAGATGGTAGAATTTGAATTCAGTAAAATATCAGGAATTAAGGATCTAATGATGACCGTGAATCCATTTTCGATTGTTGGAAAAAACCCACCTGGTTCACTGATGTCCTTTTAGGGAAGGAAACTGCCATCCTTGCCTGGTCTGGCCTACATGTGAGACCCACAGCAATGTGGTTGACTCTTAACTGCCCTCTGGGCAATTAGGGATGGGTAATAAATGCTGCCTAGCCAGCAAAATCCCTCATCCCGTGAATGAATAAAGAAGAAAAAAAGTATACATCATGGAGTAGTCCTGGAATCGTTCCTGTAAATCACAACCGTTTCTTCATAAAGGTCTCAGATATTTGAACTGGGATCCTTTGAAATTAATAAACGTCACATCAGTGATTTACTCGGGTCTTGCAGGGATCTGTGTCATTGCATAATTCTACAGTGTTCTTTGTGATTCTGAACAAATATTCAACAAATACGCAGCTGTAACCAGAATCGTGTCTTTTTAAATGAAATGTGCATTTTTGTGGCACCAAGACCATAGCAAGATCTAAAAATCTACATCCTTGAACTCGTTCTTTAGATCAAAATCTTAAATTTATTATGTTTCTGTGTTTTTAAAAAAAAAAAATCCACTCTGTCTTGACTTCCTTACCATCCTCCTCCCAATCTATGCCTATTCTTAATGCTTGAACATTGGATTGAAGATTCCAAATGAAATGAAGCACTCTGAAATGTTGGGCAGTGACATTTTGGTAATAGTCTGATGTTGCCTGAAGTTGCTCGCAGGAGCGCTGAGTTTTTACTGCATGGATAAGAAGTTCCATTTTAGCAGTGTTGACTCATCACATTACAAATCCTGTGCAAGTCAGATTTCTTACAGCACATGCGTAATGTGTTTTCATAAAAATGAAAAGAAATTGATTTCTATTTGACAAGGTGCCAGTTGCGTAGTTTGCCTGCAAAAAAAACCAAGTACTTGGTAGCCTTGTTACTGACAACTTGCTGGAAAGTCTTTTTAAGATGAAGCTAAAAGCCAAATGGTCGTAAGAATTTCAGTCAGAGGCTTGCGAATCATGGGAATTAGGCTGTGGTTGGTTAGTCAAGTGTATTCAAGTTCAAGATCGCCAGACTTTTTTTGACACATTTGCATCTCTATGTATGTAGTGTCAGGGATGAAAAGTGGAGTTGAAGTTGAAAATGATCGATGTTCTTAAATGGCAAAGATAGCTTGAGGGACTGATCACTCCTCTTTCTGACGTTGCTTTTCACGTACTCAATGGAACCAGGAGAATACTTTTGTGGGATTTTGTTACGCACAAAACTGGCTGCCACATTAGCTTGCCTGATAGGCTAACTTTGAATAATTTATCGGCTGTGAAGTACTTTGAGCTGCCCTGATTGCAGTGGACACCCACTTGCAGTGGTGGTTCTAAATTTATTTGTAGTCCTAGTCGAGCTGTTGCTTCTGTTCTCCGTCCAATCTGTCCCTGGATTGTTGCTATCTAACCACTTCCTCCCATGGCGAAAAGTTCTGCTGTTAGTACATGACCACTTCCTGAAGCCAGATCCACCGAGGGAACTTGTCATTTCTCTCAGTTTGCCAATCCATTGACCTTGCTGCTTGTCTATAATGTTGAATATTTAGTCACTGTTTAAATATTCTTGTGCCTTTCCTTGCTGTCCCGAAATGGTGCCATCCTTGATTCACTGGACTATTTTGGTAAATATGTTACCGTAGTCCTAGTGACGGTGATGCTCTCGAGCCCTTAATGTGCTCACAGATTGTGGAAAGCTTCAATCACGTGTGCCTATGGATGAAGAGCAGGAAGTGATTATCTGCAACTGGCTTCTTTACCACCCCCTTGGTTTTGGCCCTATTGCTCTTGAAGGCATTGCCTGTTGCTGTGATTCAGATACCTTGTCCAAGTGATTGTTCTTGATATCCAGGTCCAGAGCAAGAGTTTTGTCTGGCATATTAACAGTGAGAAACATCATAGTGACACTAACCTCCTCTGCCACCTTTCCTGGGAGTCATGATCAGGGGAACAAAGTCTCGTTGATTTGTTTTTTTTTTTTTTGTCCCCAAGTCTAGTTCTTGAATCATAGAAAATTCAATTCATTTAATATTCAATCTTTGATCTTTTTGTGTGAAGTGAATAAATGGTCTAATCTTGGCTTTGGACACACTCCTGTCAATTGTGAAGTCCTTCAATAGCTCTTTATCACAAGGTCAAATGAGCATTGTAATTATGTTCCTGAGAGATCTTTGTCTATGAAATAAATCTAAAGTTATTTCCCCTATGGAGCTTTAATATAAAATGTTATCTGCTTGTGTAACATCTCTGTCTTGAGTATTTGCTTTTCAGTATACAGTTGAGTAATTCCCTGTTGTGGTCTGTGGGATGGAGAATTGAGATCTACGTCTTTAATTAGAACTATGACCCTGCGCAGCAACAATGTTGCGTTGGCCTTTCATTATTTCAGCAATAGTTAACTGCCTTCCTTAATTTGTTCAGTTGATGCACCATTACTTGAAGCCAATTACGTGAATGACTTTAATTTTTTAAATTTCAACTTGGAAAATAATTCCACCCTGTCAGAAATGACAAATTGCATTTCTATGCATGACATACTGAGGAAATTACATGTACATAAATAGTGAGAGACTGCATGCAACTTGAAGTTGGAATAAATACTGATTTTGATTTCTGAGGCACAAATGGTTACTAATTTTTCTACACATTTTTTTTTTAAAAAAACTTCATTTTCTTTATGCTAATCCTTGTAGTCATCTTAAATATAATTCGATTTTAAAAAGAAGCTATTACAGATATAAACTATTCTTGCAAAACCAAGCAGGTTTTAAGTATATGTTACAAATGAGGCCTGAAAAGTTGATACTCTTTATTGCTTCCTCCTCCTAGAGAAAGTATTCTGGAGTAAACGCCATCGCTTACAAGTGGAGGATTCGTCTCTCAGCGAAGAAAGGAAAGGGTGCATCGCTAAAAGGTAAACACGTCGTGAAAAATTCAGGCTGATTTATTGCCATTTCATGTTTGTTTTGATTATCCTGTGTGATGAATGTTGTGTTGGTAATTTGCACTGAGACGCTAACCAGGGCGATTGATCTTTCCTTCTACTACCTGTCTCAAGATTTCAAATGCTTGTGCACTAATTCTGCTGCAATTAAAACTGTAATTAATCCAATCTAAATACTCAGCATAGTTAGAAAAATATGAACCATTTATTTTTCTTGGTGTTCTTGAGGTCCAGGTGCCAAGCTATTTCAAAATATGCAAACTTGTTCAGAAATACAATGTTATCTCATCTTGTGCAAAGAGACTCTTTAAGATGCTTTCGAAATGGAGAATTTTCCTGGCATGTGAAATAGAGTAAGTGAATTGGATGAGTGAGGGAAGAAACTGGAAAACATGAAACTTTGGCTGTCATTCCACTTCTGATCTTATATGATGTTATGCCATAACAGAATAAGTCACTGATTTGTTTGTAATAAAAACAGACCATTTTCATGTTTGTGTTTAGGAATGTATTTTCTGTTTGCTATCTTCTGAAAACAGACATTTTACTTTAGAATTCTATCTCTACGCTCAGTTCAATGTCAAACAGCCTCAAGTTGTTCGTAAAAGAAGTGCTGAAGGTTTGCTCTCCATATGAGTGAAAGTGGTTGCTGTGGTTGTTATGTGAATGAACTCTAAGGAAACGATGCCTAATTCCACTGATCTCGTTGTTGGGATGCATACGATTCATTGTTCCAGTTGGCAGTTTGTCATTTTCCCAAGATCTCATGCTGATTTTTCTGTGTGAATTGCAAATTCTTGCCAATGTTCAATTGACATTTTGATTTTTCCATGGATACCATATGAGCTGAAGTAGGAAATTTACCAGATTTATTTTAAACTGTAGAGCAGACATTTCTGCCTGTCTTTTTTTCACCACCCTCCTATTGCCATTGAGATTGGATGTTACAGGTGTGGCCTTTCAGACAGCAGTCAAGTGCTTCGTGTTCCTTGTCTCGCCCTCTTTTTCATCTTTTAATTGATTACTTTATTCTCAAACCTCCTTGCTGTGCTCCCCACTTAGTTACTACTTTGGTCTCTAGCTTTCTTCTTAACCTTCTGTAAGAACAATGGCATACATACACTGACAATGTTTATCAAGGCACCAGACAAACCCTTAACTCTTCACCTTAACTCGTAATCAAAGGGCTGTCTGGATTTACCACCCAGTCTATGCCCAGGAGTGAATTTGGCTCGTTCAACTGTCTTGCATCAACCAGTTCAGATTACATTCACGTTTACACTGTCAACCTCCCACCAGGATCCACATAAACGACAAAAGAAATTACTCCATTGCTAGTTATCAGTCATAAAATAAAGCCATGTATTACCGTTGGCCACACTTAAGCTTCAATAATGTGTATAAATAATTAGACAGAAGGGGAATTGACAAAGTTAAGTTCCAAAGGCAGCTCAGTTATGTTGCAGATAACAAGGTGTAGAGCTGGATGAACACAGCAGGCCTAGGAGCAGGAAGGCTGACGTTTTGGGCCGAGACCCTTCTAGGCCCGAAACGTCACCAAAAC